GCCGGCGTGAGTGTGTGTGTGAGACTGAGAGTGAACTCTCCCCGGAGGACAGAGGCAGAGGGAGATGTCTCAGCAGTTACTTCAGTGTAGTGGTTCTCTGAGGAATAGCGCTGTGTGTTTGATGCATCCAGTGCTGCTGGAACTGACTCCCCACTGCACACAAGCTCAAGTGCACACACACACACACACACACACACACACACACACACACACACACACACAGTGTGTGTGTGTGTGTGTGTGTGTGTGTGTGTGTGTGTGTGTGTGTGTGCACTTGAGCTTGTGTGCAGTGGGGAGTCAGTTCCAGCAGCACTGGATGCANCTGCCTACACTGTGCGTCGGCGTCATGGATGTCAGCGCCGGGGGCAGGGGCGTTTCAATACCTGGTTGATTCGGAGGGTTACGAACCTGGAGGAGCATTGCTGGGTGCCTCGGTCACGCATTATGGACCCTGTCATGTTGAGGGAGTTCCACAGGGCACACCCTGACAAGCCTGGTGGTCGCCAGGAGGGTCCCATTGAAAGGGGGGGTACTGTGAGCTCGTGGAGAGCGTAACAAACTCCCTCTGGAGGGAACACAGGGATTGTAGCCTTTGCAGACCATTTATATACACTAAAACCTATAACTCACTACAGGAAAGGGGAAACCCAAACAAACATAATAGGGCCTCTTTGATATTAGTACTTGATGCTGCAGCTTAATCTAATTAACATTAGGGCAGATTCGCTAACAGTATCTGATCTAACATCAGAATTAGTGATGCAAACACTATGCAGTGGATGCCCTATCGTGAAAAAATATATAAGGTCACCCACAAAACGCTTTAAATGTATTGTGTTGTTGTTATTGCACCAGGCTTTGGTATCTTAAGAATTGGAGGATGAAAACCTCTTTAATTGTCACAAAGCTCACACAGTGAAATGTAACCTCTGCATTTAACCAGCAACTCCAACCTCCTCAAACCCCCCAGGACCAAGCGCCGTACTATGGGAGACCGGGCCTTCTGGTCGGCTGCTCCCAGTCCGTGGAATGCTCTCCCCGACCACATAAGAGCACCACAGACCGTGGAAGCTTTTAAAAAAGGCCTCAAAACCCATCTGTTCAATAGAGCCTTTCCCTAGACCTTTTATCTATTACCACCCTTTTATTTTGTTTTTATTGTTTGTTTTGTATTGCTTTTTATTCATTCTACCGTGTTGTGTACTGTTTTTTATACTGTTCATGCTCACTGCTTGTAGCACTTCGGGATTTGAAGTCAAATATGAAGTGCTTTATAAATGAAGCCCATTATTATTATTATTATTATTATATCCTTACTGCATAATTTTGCTCATGAAATAATTAAAGTTTTATTTCCGAAGACTATGTGTATCGTTGAACAAGCATTTATGTGATTGGTATGTTCAGGCCACTTGCTTAATACAATCACAATGAAAACAGTGCCTTTTCTGTAACACTGTAGGCTATGTAGAAAGAAATGTTACTGATGAAAATCTCAAATGTAATTTGTATTCTCAGAGCACTGTAAAGAAAATTCCATTTGTATTGTTTATATTTTTAAAATCCAAATATTTCTGCTTGTTGTGAAACAAATAATCATATCTGAGAGAATATCTATTTTGTCATTTTGGTTGAAGTGACCCCTCACATCTAATTGAATGTGTAACTGCTTAAGGTGCATAAGTCTCTACATAAATTGTTGGAATATTATCAACTGTGACGTGTTCAGTTTGCATTGTGTTCATAGAGTTATGTGATACTCAGACATAAAAGAGATCCTGTTTCCTGGTTTCACTTCTGTCCACTGATACTCTCTGTGTTATTTCTGATCACCAGTACTGGTTTGGAAGGTGTATGGGGACCCGTGAGTAAAACAACACAATGAAAAGGATGCCCTGTCATTCACTGCCTGTGGGTGGAGCTTACAGCTGCAGTGCTTCTGGAGGAACTCCCCTCCTCCAATCAGCACAGAGCATGCATGAGTCACTTCCTCATTTTTACTCCCTTATTTGGCAGGCAGGGGCTGGCCTTATTTGACTAGGGAGGAAAATGGTCGAAAGGAAAGTCAGACGGCTTCAGTAGAGTGAGTGATTCCAGCTGTTTTATCTCTGGTGAGTAAATATATGTTGTTTCATTGCTTTCTAATCGTTGATCTAAAGGATGTTTAAACTGTGTGTGATAGCTGAGTCAGCTAGGACTGATGCATTAACAGGATGATTCATGTGTGTGAGGCTGGGAATCAGGAAATGAGAGAACTAGGCTTGAAAACAAACAAAGTAACACTTCCTGTGTTAAAGTTAAAGGTGCCAAATAGCCAATATAGCTTATTAAATTGAAGAAGCTGCTACATTGAAGGTTAAAGCATGTAAACATTTGTTTATTTCCAGTCTTTCTTGTATTACTAGGAAGACACACCCACTGTGGTCCCTGAATTTTCATGCAGGACAACATTGAGATGGATGATTAATGTCACAACTATGAGAACGATGCATTACAATTGGACATCATCTGTAATACTGCATTCTTTTCATAAGAACATCTTATATAATTAATCATTTCCAAAACACCACACTACACATTTTCAACTGAATGCTTGATTTGGATATTTGTTTATAGTTAAAATGCCCAAAATCCACTGGTCATCTCACATATGAATATTTGATTGTCTCATTTGATATTTAACCAACTCTCTTTTACACTTTTGTCCAGACAAAATAGGCAATTGTAATGCCAATTTAGGAAGTTGAGAGGATCTTCAATGGCTTTAACTATTTTCTGAAGTTTTATTTAACAATCAAAGAATTGAGAAAATGATGTAAAGATTAAATTATGAAAATATTAATTATTGAATGTTGAAATGGTATGGGTAACTGCTGACAACAGAAGCCCCCATTGTGACCTGTTGCCAGAAACATTAGACTGTAAGATGACACCTACAACAATATGGCATGTGTGCAGCAGCTGGTGACATGTGGGCCGTAGCCCGAGCAACCTGAGGCAAGCCATAAGTTAAATATCTAGGGAAATCCAAGAAGAGACCCTCTGAGGCAATATTTTAGGTAAAGCTTTTCGATAGGGTCCAGAAGATCAAGCTAACATGCAGAGTTAGGATTCAGTTTTAAATATACACTAGTTTAAGATATATATTTTTAAACATATGCTTCTTTTTTTGTATGTCTCCAGCCTCCAGACTCACTTTGTGTGATCCTTAACTAGGCAGAAGAGAAGCAGCAGTGATGGCGGATGCAGAGAAGATCAAGAAAACAGCAGCCAAGGTGCTGTGCTGCGTGGAGAAGGTGACCTCCTTCGCCTCCTCCATCGACCCCATCTTTGGCATAGTCTCTTCCCTGGTTGGGGTTGCTCGCAAGGGCCTGGTTGAGGAGGAGGGCCACGCTCTAGACAAAGACTTCCAGTCGCTCCACACCAAACTGGAGAGCATCTCCGAAAAGAACCACCAATGCCTGAGGCGGATCCGCATCGACGAAGTGAACGAAACCTACGGCAAGTACGAGGAGTACATCAAGCACCAGTACACCGCCTTCAACAACATGGTGGGGAACGTGAAGAAAGATCCTGACAACAGTCAGCGCTACATGGAGAAATTTGAGAAGACTTATGAGAGAGACAAGAGTGACATGAGCCTGGATGTGTACTACCGTGGTGTGATGGGTACCAAGTTGCTGTTTGGAAGACCTCTGCTGAAGGTGTACCTGGAGAACTGCGACGGCGACCGTGAGATCATGGAGCGCCGCTGTTCACACATCACCCACCTGTTCCACATGGGCCTCATCGCCCTCATGGCGTACACAGCTGTTACAGAGGACGACGAAGACGAGGTGCGGGAGAAGTGGGCCAAGAGGGTGGCAGACATCCAGGAGAAGATGCAGGACATGCTCAGTCAGTGTAAAGACAAGAAGTCCTGAAGCTGCAGAGAGAGGAGGGAACAGTTTTCTGTGGTCCAAGGAAAACTGACAAAATATGTTATAATATATATATCTGAATAAAACCAAAGCCATGTCTCATTTATGCACTTAAGCGGCACCTGATATTCTTACTGGTGCATTTTAGTTATTGTATCGACGTTGTATGTTATGTTTTGTTTCAAAGAGACCACTAAATGTTTCAGTTGCTTTGTGTTACATGCCAATATATTGTATGCTGAAGTTTTGTACAATCTCTACAATAAAAATGTACATATTATTAGTCGATGAAGTTGAATATTGTGAAATTGATTCTATCCACATTAAAACCAACCATGTAAACATAAAAAGGCCATGCTGTACTTGTTAGTAAAATGTGTTATGAGACCCCTTTTGGAAAAGAACAGTTCTTCATACATGATTTGGTTATACTTAACCCTAAATGAAACAGAAACCACTGTCAATATAAACTCCTAAAAACTATTTGATTTCGGTTAGAAGGTTAAGATACGGTAATCGTGTCTTTATGGGCTCTAACAATGTGTAAGAAGATTACATACATTTAGGAGGGGTATAATAACCAGGGAAACAAGCAAGTTAGCTTAGCTTTGATCAAGAAGAATAGATATGTATTAAGAATTAATTCAATTACGAATAGATATGGACTGGGACTCTAATCAGGCTGAAGTTACTTTACTTTATTTAAGAACCGTTTGCTCGTAAAAAAAAAAGGCAATAACTACTTTTATTATCAATTAACTTTAACCATACCTTAAGCAGCTGCACTTCATGCAGTTTAGGGAGATCATGTGGTCAGTTTCTGCTAACTCTAGCTAAGTGCGCAGAATGAAATAAAACGTGGGAATTTCAATATTTTCTCCTTACGCGGCCTACACACTATGTCTAACAATACATATTTTTCACGAGCACGCTTTGAATTCTTCTGGGGATTTTACAAATACTTCCAGGAAAGGAATACAACACATTTGAGTATGTCAATATTTAATGCTGCCGCACTGAGTCCCCATCACCGCCAGAGTCCTCTGTTTTCCGAGCCGAGCTGCTGTCATGGAACGTAACGCGATTCCTCTGTTTGTGTGTGCAGCCCTGCCCCAAAGTTACAGGCCTGCAGCGACCGCAACACACATATCTGCTGTGGAAGTTCACCAGGAGCAGAGTCTGATGAAATAAACATGGTGAAACTAACCGAGGGCTTAGAAAAGCTGTTTCTGGTCTGCTGGAGGTAAAAGACACGAAGCTTTAGGTAAGTTTCATCTGATTTAAGAGCGGAAAAGCGGTGATGACGACTGTAGCATCCCGGCTACAGCTGCTGATTCAGACCTACAAGTTGATCGTGTTTATTGTACGGGAGGAAATGTGTCAACGCTAGTTTGATCCAGCAGCTTTGAGTGTAGTCTAAAATATAGTAGATAACACACTTTGTGTAATAACAGTTTGAAGACAACATAGTTTGGTTTCCGGGGCGTGACCTCACTTTGAACTCAACAAGTTGATGTCTGAGCGGATGGTGTCTCAGCGGATGGCAATGTTAATGTATTGCTGTTTATTAGTTGTATGTCTATAAATAGTGCGTTAAACCTGAAGCCTGTTCTGTATTGCAGATAATTGTGAAAAGCATTATTATAACATTCTCTTAAAGCATGCCATAAGCCCCTGAATATAATGTCTTATAACCACAGTCTTGAGGTGCCTTTACTTTAAAATATCAAGTATCATATTGATTAAATAAACATTTAATCATCATTATATATCATTATATTGCTGTCATTTGGTTGTTTCTAAATTTGGTTTTGTCTGAATTTCCAAGCTTTTACATCAAGCTCAATGTGAGTATTATGACAACATTCATAATAACATTAACTGTGATCTGTTTCAGGGATGCCTCTCCACAGCATTTGGCCCTTGTGTAGAACCTTGTGTCGGGACTGAGAGAGAGTCAGCAGGATGGGCAACGAGGACAGGCTGGAGGATGCGTTTGTGGCTGTCATTCGCCCGAAGAGTCAAGTCAGCCTGAGCTCAAAGGAGTACAGAGCCAAATCTTATGAGGTAAAAACTGGCGTCAATGTCTAAGCAAAGTCAAATTATATCATATCTAAAATGGAAGAGACAAAGAGGAAACATATCTGTCTTCTGAGGAATATACACTTATCAAAGAAAGCTGAATATAGTTAATGTTGTTTTTACATTTCCTTGTGTATTTACAAGGTTTTTTTGCAAAAAAATTAAAATATTTTTTCTAAACTGCAACCTAATTTAAACTGACACTATATTGCCTTAAAAATAAATAAAAATAAAAACATTTAAAGCAGTATGTGGTAAACCACCAATAATAAATTGAACAAAAATGAAAACAAATTACATTTAAAACAATACACTAAAACAGAATAGCTACCTAACCAATGACTTCTAAGCAGATTTTGAACCAGCCATTTAACCACCATTCATTTCAGAATTGTTCAACTAAGCTTTTATGTTTCCTGAACAGATCCTGCTGAATGAAGTGCCTTTGGAGGGGAAGGAGAAAAAAAGAAAGAAAGTCCTCCTGGCGACAAAAATCCAAGCTGCAGGAGACAAATCCAAATCCATATTGGATTTTGTGGACGAAACCGTCAGATCAATATCCAACAACCAAAGCCTCATCGGTGAGTGTTGGACATTCACACTCAAGGATAGTTCAAATGTCAGCCGTGCATACAGCATCACAACTGCTGCCTGTCATTTAAAGATGTTGTTGCCTTTTAAAGTGAAGGGATGGTTTACTCATGACTCACCGCTGATCCTGACACTTTTGTGTTTCAGGAAAGCGTGTGGTTCATATGAAGAAATTCCCCCTCGATGGAAACAATGAAGGAAAAGAGGCCTCGCTTTTTGTCGTGCCAGTCAGTGTTAAAGGTGAGCGTAAAACCTTCACACACAAAATCGATGCCTCAGACATTGTAAAACATTGTTTACATTCTGTATACTAATAAATTACTCTGAACAGACAACAGCAAGCCTTTGCACAGCGCCGGGAGCCCGAGCTTCTACTGCTTCCAGGACATCATGCGGGTGTGCAGCGAGACCAGCGCCCACTTCTGCTCCAGCACCTCCAAGATGCTCCTGGCCTTAGACAAGTGAGGATATATTCAGATACACAGACTGCGGTCAAATAGTCAATACATTATGCCATATGTCTACCTCTAACCCCTTCATGAGTTCAAGTAAAGATGTGAAGGAGAATTCCTATGCACCTGAATAATCAAACTGACCATGATGTTTTTTGGAAAAGCAACTTTCTTTATAAGTCATATGAGAACAGTAACAAACGAAATGTTGTATAATTCAAGTAGGGATTGCTGTCTAAAACAGAATCACATCTCCTGAGAAGGTTGATTTCTAGTCATACACAGTACACAATGGAAGAGTGAGGTGTTATTAATGGATGAATGGTGCCGGTAAAAGATAATCTAGTGTTCCCTGTTCTAAAGAATGTAAGAAAGGAAGCATTGAAGTGGTTTTATTTAACATTTAGACAATTTGACCAGCTCTTATAATGGCTGACACCTTATTCTTCTAGGTTGTTTTATTAAGTCAGGAAGAAATACTACTCGACCGAGCTCTAGTTTTCTCGGATGAAGCTTTAGAAAAGTTAACGTTGTGTCTTTGACGTCAACAGGTGGTTAGCAGAGCAGCACAGCGTGCCTCACGCCATCCCCGCCCTGTTCAGACCGGCGCCTGTTGAGCGGGTGAAGACCAACGTCAGCAACCCGGCCTACAGCAGCGAGGGCAAACTGAGTGAGGAGGGTCTGCACATGGGCTACACCGCTCTGGAGATCAAGAGCAAGATGATGTCCCTAGAGAAGGCAGACATGTGCATCCTCAACCCGCTGTACGGCTCAGATCTGCAGTACACCAACCGGGTGAGACAACCCTCTTAAGAACCAGGAGATACCTTATAGAAATGGCTGGGACATTGACATGATTTATGTAGTAGACCAGGGGAGATTGGTTGTCTAAAACATGGAAGTGTCCTTTTGTTAGTACTATAAACTTGAAAAAAATCGTCTCATCCCCTTCCCTTTGTTTATCCTCTTCGTCTGGCTTTTTGTTTGCAGGTGGATAAAGTTATCATCAACCCTTACTTTGGTCTCGGAGCGCCCGACTACTCCAAGATCCAGATCCCACAGAGGGAGAAGTGGCAGCATGGCCCTAACTGTGTGGCAGAAGACACGTGAGTGGTTATTCTTACATGATCCACATTGTTTTGACGTTCTTCTCCAGTCAATTTCTACTCCTTCCTGTGTCTAATTTCTTATTTGGTCATGGAAATAAAGTGAAGACAATTCTCTGCAGGGAGCGCCAGTGGGTGGAAGACTTCCCGCTCCACCGCAGCGCCTGTGAGGGAGACACAGAGCTGCTGCTGAAGCTCCTGGACAGCGGTTTCTCCGTCAAACAGCTGGACAGCGACCACTGGGCTCCCATCCACTACTCCTGCTGGTACGTCTCATCTCAAGTAGCCAAAAGCTCTCACTTTCTCCGATTGTTTTGTATGTGTTGTTTATGCGTTCTTGTGGTAAAGTATAGTTTGGTTCAATGCAGGCACGGTAAAGTGGAGGCGACCAAGCTGTTACTGGAGAAAGGTAACTGTAATCCCAACCTGCTGAACGGCCAGCTCAGCTCCCCGCTGCACTTCGCAGCCCGGGGGGGCCACGCAGAGATCGTACAACTCCTGCTGCAGCACCCCGAGATCGACCGGGTACGACACGTGACGTTTACCTAACATTTGCTGTGTTCCTCTTAATTTTTTTCCCATAACTACTATGGATGATTTTCTAGCTGCTATTATAATTCAACATGAGATATTGATCACCCCTCCACCTACTTTCCATTATGAACAATGAACACTGTTTGATTTGTAATATCAGTAAAGCAATAGAAATCGTATATCTATTGTAAACTTGTTGGAAAAAAACAGTGATTGTTTCCCTTAACTACTTGAACCTTTTTTAAATGTAATTAAATGTTGTCTTTTTTTCTGTAATGCACAAGCAAAATAACATAAATGTCATGATAAATTATACATGACCACAAGGCTTTTTGCAAATATTAATACAATTATGTCGATAACTTGTTCACAGCTTGACAAATGTAATATTTTATGTTCATTGCACATCAAAAATTGCAATATTGTTTGATTTTGTAAGTATTATTTTTAGACAAAGCACATATGTATTGACACACTATATTACATCTCATAATATAGTAATTATGTAAGACAATAACCAGTCAATACTGACATTGAGGTTCCCACCTACACCCACCTCCCACCTAGCACATGGAAGACCAGCAGAAGCGCTCCCCTCTTCAGGTGTGTGAGGAGAACAAACAGAACGAATGGGAGGAGACGGTGAAGCTCCTGCAGCAAACCAGCAGCAAACCTGTGAGTCACACATCCCACACTCACCTAATTACCGTTTGTGTATTGCAAACATGACACTAAAGTGTTACACCACAGTGTTAAAGCTGATCTCATGCAGCTTCCAAATTGCTTTGGCTAGAAGTATATCCATGATATTGTGAGTTACTAGGGTTGCAAAATTCCGGGAATTTTCAAAGATGGAAACTTTCCATGGGAATAAACGGGAATTAACAGGAATAAACTGGGAATTTTCTAAATTGAAGATTGGCTCTTCATAGGGAACTTAAATATAGTTGGGGAAAGTATATTTTAGCATAATCTTGACTAAAACAAACAGATGCCATTCAAGTACACTTGAATATCCATGCCCTAGCACAGTGTTTTTCAAAGTGGGGGCCCCGATCCCCCGGGGGCCGCCAGGGGGCGCCAGGGGGGTCACTCAAAGTTTGAGGGAAACAGGATTA